ACCATTCCGCAGAGGACACTTTCCGTCTGCGTTTGGCGCAGGCCGCTTCGGGCACTTTGCCTGACTTCCAGAAGGCCCTGGTGGAACAGCTTTCGGAGAAGGACCCTGCAACTGGAGAAGCCTTCACGCACGACCGTTGGCTGAACTTTCAGTTGTTTTGGGTTCGTGTTCACTACGTGTCTCGGAACACCTTGTATGTGCCAGAAGACCCGCACTTTGAAGAAGAGTTGGGCAATGCGCGCATGACTTTGATCATGCGTCCTGATGCAGAGCCAACGTGGCATTTTGACTTGTGGCGCAAACACGGCGCGCAGGAAGTGACGCAAGACTTTGTTGGCGCTACTTGTTTTGAGAAGTTGCCACTTGAAGCCTTTGAAGCAGAGCCAGCTCAGCCAGAGTACTTGGCTCAGAGGCCGAAGGGCTTGAAGCAGCCCGGCGAGCCAACTTTAACAGAAAGGCTGGAGCATGAGCTCACTCACTTGCCGTTCAAGCCGTGGTGTGCAATTTGTTTGAAAGCTAAGAGCAGGCAGGCTCACAGTAAGAAACTTTCGTTGAGACAGCCCGTCCTGCAGATGGACTTTAGCTTTCTTTCAGATAAGCCTGGTGAGGAACAGGTCACCATACTTAACGTTGTCGATGTTCTCTCGAACATGGCACTTTCAGTGGTGATTCCCACAAAGGCTCGCACACCGTACTCCCATGCAGAGTTGAGACGCTTTGTTCTAGAAACCGGACGTACTTTCGGAATCTTGCAATGCGACCCAGAGCCAGCGTTGAAAGCCATCGCGGAAGCTGTAACAGGCGAAGTCGGTGGACTTTCCTTGCGGAGTACCCCGACAGGCTGGAAGCAAGCTCAGGGTTCCGTTGGAAACATGCAAGCAACTTTGTATGGACAGATCAAGGCTTTGCGGCTTGAGCTTTTGCAGCGTTACCAAGTTGATCTGTCGGTTCACTCAGCGCTTTTCACTTGGCTTGTGCGCCACGCGCAGTGGCTTGTCAACCGTTACCTTTGCAACGCTGCTGGCACTACTGCTTTTGAGAGACGCTGGGGAAAGCGGTACAACGGCTTCATATGCCGCTTTGGAGAGACCGTACTTTTCCGAAAACAGCGTGTCAACAAAGGCAAGCCGGCTTTTGAGCGTGGCATTTGGCTTGGTAAAGACACAGAGTCGGAGCAACACTTTGTCGCTGACTCTCGTGGGGTTTACAAGACGCGTTCCTTGAAACGCCTCCCCCCCACCCAGCAGTCTGACGCGGCACTTTTGCAGTCGGTTACCGCGCGTCCTTGGGACCCAACCGGTGCAAAGGTGGAAACGGACTCCTTCATCTTTCCGATGCAGCAGTCCGAGGAGGCGACAAACCCAGCTTTGCCACCGTCTGGGCCACTTTCTGGTCCTCCTGAAAAAGGCAATGATGTGCCAAACTATGAACTTTCAGACCCAGAGTTGGAAGAAGCTTTGGGCTTAGATGGCACAGAGCCTGTTCCGGCTCGTGACGATCTTTCGGACCTTCCGGAAGATTACTTTTCTGATGTAGAGCAAGAACCGCCCTTGCCTCCGCCTGAGTTTGAGCCTCCACGCTTGACTTTGGATGAGCAAACTGCAAATGCAGCGCAAGCAAGGTCGAGTACAGACGCAGCTTTGCCTCAGCCCCCTGGTTCGAGGCCGCGACTTTCTGACGAGTCGCCCGCGTCACCGACCAAGCGTAGCACAGAGACTTTTGACGTTGGAACGACTAAGGTGCAGAGGATCAACGCGGTGACTTTCTACAGCGGTAGGAAGCGCATACCCAAGCCACTTTGTTACCTTCGTGTTGCTGCAGTCACAACCAAGAACGACCTTGAAGTTCCTGTAGCAATAAACCAGGATGAAAAAGAACTTTTGCTGATGAAGACCCTGGAAAACCCGTACTTGTGGTATGAAACCGAGTTTCCGCTCGTTGAAGAAGTAGAAGGGATGAAAAAGGAGATGAAGTCTATGACGACTTTCGATGTTTTCGAAGAAGTTCACTACAAGGACATTCCCCAAGCACTTTTAGACAAGGTCATTTCGACGCGGTGGGTTAAGGTCCGCAAGTCCGACGGCACTGTGCGCTGTCGACTTGTAGTTCGAGGCTACACGCAAGAAGTCAATGACAAGGATGAGACTTTCGCCTCGACGCCTTCGCTCACCACCTTGAAGCTTTTACTCACTTTGGCTGTAGCCAGAGGATGGCACATAGCAGTGGGTGACATTTCCACAGCTTTCTTGCACGCTGCTGTGGATGATGACTTTTACGTCATGCCTCCCCTTGAGTTTTACCCAGATGGCTGCACGCTTTGGAAGTTGAAGAAGGCGCTTTATGGTCTTAAGCACTCACCAAAGCTTTGGCAAGAGCACTTTGCGTCAGTCATGAAGAAGAATGGCTTTCGCAGGGTCAAGTCAGACCCAAACCTTTATGTGCATGAGACCAAGCAACTTTACGTGCTTGCTTATGTTGACGACCTCATGTTCTTTGGTTCAAAGCCAGATGTCGAACTTTCGGTTGCGGATTTGCAGAAAGACCTGTTGTTGAAGATGACAGGCACTTTGGACGAAGGTCAATCGGTGACTTTCCTTGGCCGTGAGCTTCAAAGAACGAACGACGCCATACTTGTTGGCATGAACCCTGCGTACATTGATCGTATGCTTGAGACGGCGGGACTTTCAGGTTGTAAGCCAGTCCTTGCTCCGGGCACAGACACTTTGCGAAAGCAGTTGAATGTTGAGCCTCTGGACGCGGAAGCGCACAAGCGCTACCGGCGCATCGTAGGCCAACTTTTGTGGCTTTCGAGTGTACGCCCAGACATCATGTATGCAGTAAAGGAGCTCAGTCGAGGACTTTCTGCCCCGACCTCAGAGCATGAAGCCAAGGCCAAGCACCTTTTGAAGTACCTTGCTGGTACGAAGAACTTTTCGCAACGTCTTCAACCTACCCTACAACTTTCCCCACAACGCAAAGCCATAGACATCAACATTTACGTAGATTCCGATTGGGCTGGCTGCGCAGACAGCCGTAGATCCACTTCGGGTGTGTCACTTTTCATGTTGGGTGCGAACATTTTGTCGCACAGTAGGACGCAAGCTACGGTAGCACTTTCGAGTGGGGAAGCCGAGCTGTACGCAATAGGCTCAGGAACCGCTGATGCACTTTTCCTGAAGTCTCTGATCGAGGAGGCGAAACTTTTCCCGAAAGCAAACCTTTGTATCTGGACCGACTCCAACGTTGGTAAAAGCATAGTTTCGCGCTTTGGGGCATCCCGTAAGACGAAGCACGTGGAGCTTCGCTTTCTTTACGTTCAAGAACTTGTTGCCTCAGGTATGGTGCGTGTAAAGAAAGTGTTGGGAACTTTGAACCCAGCTGATATCTTGACGAAGTATGTTCCCAAAGAAACTTTGCACAGGCATCTGCCTACTTTTGGTTTTCCACTTTGAGAAAGACAGAAAGAAGAGAGAGTGTGAGAGGAGAGAAACACGTACTTTTGCGGACATGTCACTCTTGGTGTGTGTGTACAGTCATGTCACTTTTCATGTCTTCCATGTCACTTGTGCTGTCTTGTGCGGACATGTCACTTTTGCAGACATGTACTTTGCAGTGCTGTGCAGTGCAGACGTGTACTTTGCAGTCATGTTCAGTCATGTCAACTTTCGGCGCATTCGGCGCACTCGGCTCGCGTACGCGCGCGCAACCTTTTTCAGTTTTCAGGCACGAAACCTTCGCCGCCACGCGCGAACGCGCGCACTTTCTCCACGCGAACTCGCGCTGTTCAGGCGCATTTTAACTTTAGTCTTTTAATGTACATAAATTCGACCCCAGCCAACTTTGACCTTGCGGGGTGTTCGGGGTTTCTTTGGCGTTTGTGGTTTACTTTGCCTCGCGCCCCTCTGGTGCTTCTCTCGAAACACTTTGATGCTCTTGTGCGCCCGCGCGCCATGGCACTTTAAAGGTGTGAGACGTCCAGAGACAGTTCTCGCAACTTTGCACGCGGTGGAGCCGCGCAGCAGACTTTGAGGCGATGGATCGCTTTACACCAGCTCAGAGCCGTGACGTGGACTTTAGCACGTATCGCACGTGGCTGAGTCTGCAGCTGGTTCTTGAAACCTTGTGGAATGGGTTGCAGAAGGAGCAACTTTATCTGCCACTGTCATCGCCGGCGGAAATGTTTCAGAAGCTTTATCCTTTGATCCAGTATGCGGCCACTTTGGGACTTTATACACCTCCTGAGTTGGAGGTGCTGCAGAGGACTTTTGTGGGGTTCTGGACACCGGAACGCCCCACTTTTCGGCAGGATTGGGTTCCTTTTCAGCTGTGGCTTACTCTACCTACAGGACTTTGGTTGACGGTTGCATCTGCAGCTCAGAGGTCAGGAAACTTTGTCTTGCCATCTGCAGCAATGGTGGGAACTATGGTGGATTGCCTGAACCTCACTTTGTCTCCGAGATCGTCACTTTTATTTTGGTCATTTGGACTGTCTATCTCCTTGCAACAGGGACTTGATCGTGTGACTTTTATGCCAGGAGAGCAGTTGATCACGATTGGAGTCCGACTTTTGCTACAAGACTTTACTCGGTTAATCACCATCAATGGAAATCGTCTATGGAATAGGCGATATGTGGATTACTTTCTCAAAGTTCAGAGCCTGAACTTTATGTGGGAGCCTACTTGCCGAACGATTGTCACTTTGTTGCACCGCATTCACCCGTACGAGCTTTGTGACAATCTCAACACCTACTTTGACAGGCCTGACTGCAGGCACTCGCGCCTTATGCACCTCCCACTTTTATCTCGGCTGTACCAAGAGCTCTCAAACTTTCCAGACGAGGGCGTTGCGCCGATGCACTTGGATATCCCCACTTTGCGTCGTGGCTCCAGGATGTGAAGGAATGTGCCACTTTTCGAGTCGCTGCATTTCGATATGCCGACTTTGGGCACTTTGGTATTTCAGACAGCCAGAATCGCTGCACTTTGGGCCGATTCATAATACCTTTCGCAAGCGCCACAACTTTGAAGAGCACAACGATCTTTTTAACAGCCACTTTGAAGATGGCAGCTTTTGCGAATCAGCTGATTCCCCCGACTTTCGAGTAAAACATTTCTTCGAACTTTGTTTGCTGCTGATATTGTGGTTCGTACTTTGAAGCGGGTGTGTGATTGAGTGTGGACGAAAGTTAAAGCAACTTTAGTCCAAGGAGGCGTGTGAAATTATAATCACACTTTTCCTCCCCAGATGAGCCCTACTCATGATCTGCCACTTTGGTGGCTCAAGCACAACTTTGCCCAGAGAGAAAAGGCCGAGGCATCATAGGAACTTTGCAGTTCAAGGAGTTGAGGTTGGCTGAGGTTGCACGATCACTTTAGGGTTGTTTGTGTAGACTTTGGCTACCTCGCAATTTCGCATGTTTGTTTGTTTGTTGTTGTTTGTTTGTTTGTTGTTGTTTGTTTGTGGTGGTTGTTTGTTTGTGGTGGTTGTTTGTTTGTGGTGGTTGTTTGTTTGTTGGTTGTTTGTTTGTTGGTTGTTGTTTGTTGGTTGTTGTTTGTTGGTTGTTGTTTGTGGGTGGTTGTTTGTGGGTGGTTGTTTGTTTGTTGTTGTTTGTTTGTTGTTGTTTGTTTGTTGTTGTTTGTTTGTTGTTGTTTGTTTGTTGTTGTTTGTTTGTTGTTGTTTGTTTGTTGCTGTTTGTTTGTTGCTGTTTGTTTGTTGCTGTTTGCTGTTTGCTTGTTGCTTGTTGCTTGTTGCTTGTTGCTTGTTGCTTGTTGGTTGTGGCTTGTGGCTCGTGGCTTGTGGCTTGTTGCTTGTGGCTTGTTGCTTGTTGCTTGTTGCTTGTTGCTTGGTGCTTGTTGCGTGTTGCGTGTTGCTTGTTGCTTGTTGCTTGTTGCTTGTGGCTTGTGGCTTGTGGCTTGTTGGTTGTGGTTTGTTGGTTGTGGTTTGTTGGTTGTTGGTTGTTGGTTGTTGGTTGTTGGTTGTTCGTTGTTGGTTGTTCGTTGTTGGTTGTTGGTTGTTGGTTGTTTGTTTGTTGGGTGTTGTTTGTTTGTGGTGGTTGTTTGTTTGTGGTGGTTGTTTGTTTGTGGTGGTTGTTTGTTTGTGGTGGTTGTTTGTTTGTGGTGGTTGTTTGTTTGTTGGTTGTTTGTTTGTTGGTTGTTGTTTGTTGGTTGTTGTTTGTTTGTTGTTGTTTGTTTGTTGTTGTTTGTTTGTTGTTGTTTGTTTGTTGTTGTTTGTTTGTTGTTGTTTGTTTGTTGTTGTTTGTTTGTTGTTGTTTGTTTGTTGTTGTTGTTTGTTTGTTGTTGTTGTGTTTGTTTGTTGTTGTTTGTTTGTTTGTTGTTGTTTGTCTGTTGTTGTTTGTTTGTTTGTTGTTGTTTGTTTGTTTGTTTGTTGTTGTTTGTTTGTTTGTGGTTGTTTGTTTGTGGTGGTTGTTTGTTTGTGGTGGTTGTTTGTTTGTGGTGGTTGTTTGTTTGTGGTGGTTGTTTGTTTGTGGTGGTTGTTTGTTTGTGGTGGTTGTTTGTTTGTTGGTTGTTGTTTGTTGGTTGTTGTTTGTTGGTTGTTGTTTGTTTGTTGTTGTTTGTTTGTTGTTGTTTGTTTGTTGTTGTTTGTTTGTTGTTGTTTGTTTGTTGTTGTTTGTTTGTTGTTGTTTGTTTGTTGTTGTTTGTTTGTTGTTGTTTTTGTTTGTTGTTGTTTGTTTGTTTGTTGTTGTTTGTTTGTTTGTTGTTGTTTGTTGTTGTTGTTTGTTTGTTTGTTGTTGTTTGTTTGTTTGTTTGTTGTTGTTTGTTTGTTTGTGGTTGTTTGTTTGTGGTGGTTGTTTGTTTGTGGTGGTTGTTTGTTTGTGGTGGTTGTTTGTTTGTGGTGGTTGTTTGTTTGTGGTGGTTGTTGTTTGTTGGTTGTTTGTTTGTTGGTTGTTTGTTTGTTGGTTGTTGTTTGTTGGTTGTTGTTTGTTTGTTGTTGTTTGTTTGTTGTTGTTTGTTTGTTGTTGTTTGTTTGTTGTTGTTTGTTTGTTGTTGTTTGTTTGTTGTTGTTTGTTTGTTGTTGTTTGTTTGTTGTTGTTTGTTTGTTTGTTGTTTGTTTGTTGTTGTTGTTTGTTTGTTGTTGTTGTTTGTTGTTGTTGTTGTTGTTTGTTGTTTTTGTTTTGTTTGTTGTGTTTGTTGTTTTTGTTGTTTGTTTGTTTGTTTGTTTGTTGTTTGTTTGTTTGTTTTGTTTGTTGTTTGTTGTTTGTTTGTTGTTTGTTTTGTTTGTTGTTGTTTGTTTGTTGTTTGTTGTTTGTTTGTTTGTTGTTGTTTGTTTGTTTGTTGTTTGTTTGTTTGTTGTTTGTTTGTTTGTTGTTGTTTGTTTGTTTTTGTTTGTTTGTTGTGTGTTTGTTGTTGTTTGTTTGTTGTGTTTGTTTGTTGTTTGTTTGTTGTTGTTTGTTTGTTGTTGTTGTTTGTTTGTTTGTTGTTGTTTGTTTGTTGTTTGTTTGTTTGTTTTTTTTTGTTTGTTTGTTTGTTTGTTGTTTGTTT